TCTAATTAAAAACCCATCTCAAGAACCTCACTCTCTGGTTTAAACCACACCCTTTTTCGGTTTGTATTTGAATTTAAAAGAGGGTATCAAAAAATGATCTTTCAGGATTCTGTATCACAGTCAAGGTTTCAGTATTGGTATTGATACATAACAGTGCCCAGTCCTATTCCTAAAGCAGTGTCTAGCCCACATTTCTACAACTCACAGAGACTGTAACATCGATTATGCTCCTTTTTAACTGCTTTGTAACACTGCGTCATTGGCTTTTTTTCATGGACCTTTGCTGTGATCTTAGTACCTCTGTTTAATTTTACTCCACTATCCGGTGCAGCCCAGAGGAGGATGGGTTCCCCTTTTTTAGTTCTTGGTTCCTCTCAGTGTTTCTTCCTAATGCTCTTAGGGAGTTTCCCCCGGCTTGCTCACTGGGAATCTAGGGTTGGATCTGTGTGAAGCTGGTTTGTGAGAATGTCTGTCTCGAAATGTATTAATATAGACACATTCTCTGATAAAGCCTGAGTATATATAAAAGGAAGTAGAAGTTTGATTAACCCAATATTCCCTCCAAATGTCGTCGATAAACCATGATATATTTGTTGTCTTCTTCAGTTTTGTTCCGTAGCTAAGGCTAATGTAGCTAACAAGTAATGAAAGCTGTTAGGGAGTCACAGCAGTTAGCCTTGTGTAAACTGCATGCCTAAATCATCACACACACGCCTGAAACCACATCAGGTTGTAACGTAATTTCAAATAGATTTGCTTATTTGGTTTCTGACATCCTTGACATAAAATTATCTATAAATATGGACAAAATAGGCTACACTGCATAACTAAAAACAGTTGTAGCAATCATCCTTAAGTTTAAATTTTGCTGAAATGTTTGTTCATTAAATAGATAACAGTATGTTATCCAGCTACATAAGCATTTCTGAGGCTATGAACTTGACTGTTAACTTTTGGTCTCACAGCCATGTACAAAATGTAAAATCACACATCAGACATCAAACATGCCTTGGATGATCAACTACATTTGGGTTAAGGGAGGAAACTGTGTAAATTTGTTTTTACACTGAAATATCGCTTTGAATGAGGCTTTAGCTTGACAGGACTAGACTAGCCCAGACATGTTGAAGTGACAGGCCCACTCTCCAAACACCTGTCCTAAGTGTCTCATACTGACTGACTGTCACTTTCTCTTCTTTTTTCCCGTCCTACCTCCATATTCCCCCTCTTTTTTCCTTTCCCTTTATCTCGTCACCTCCTCAAACTCTTCCGCTCTCGCAAAGCTGCGGGCAACATTCTGTTTGTTTGCTGTGGGTTTTTTCTCTTTGTTTTGGGTATTTTCTTTGAGGGTGAATTTTTTTGTCATCTGACATTATCGTCACATCGTCTTCACAATGGACACTTCTCTGTGGAGGATGGCTCCTGAGCAGCACAGCCACATACACACACACACACCTGGCATGTCTCCTTCCCCACTGACAGACTGTGATAGGTAGTGAGGGGCGGCGCTTTGAAATCGTCTCATGCTATTTTTACGCCTGTTCGTATTTCTATATAGATTTTTGCAGACGGCTAAACTACACATCACCAATTAGAGCGGCGGACCCGTGGTAAAAGCGCAATTAATTTTCCACTTCAAAAAAGCACTTTAAAGATGCAGTTTATGTTTCTCCTCCTTTTGTCATGGTTCAAACACAAGGAAAGTGCTCGTTTCCTGTGCTGGGCTTTAATGCTTTCTTTTAACTCCCCATCTCCCTCTGTGTATATATGTGAGTGTGTGTGTCCGTGTGTTTGTTGTGGCCTAAATAAAGTTTTAAGGCAGCAGGAGTGTACGAGGCCTATTTTATGAAGCTGTTTTCCCCCTCTCAGTATGCGGGGTCCACAGCACTAGGCCATCCTGCTGGATACAAAGCAGCAGCCTCCATGTCCTTAAACACAACTTATTCATGTCAGACCAAACACATACACGTGGTGGTATTACTAAGTTTGTCAGGACTTAATGGTTTAGCTAGACTTAAACCCAACCCTAATCCAGTAATGAAAATCCCATAGGAAAGAAAAATCAGGAATCAGTATGAACCTAACCATTTTTCCTCCAAGCCTAGAAGACTTCTCAGTTTTGATGGTGTGAATAACTCATAATTTATGTATTTTGTCTATATTTTTAATGTCATTTTAGGAGAATCACCATTAAGGGAAATACCACCAATTTTTTCAGATAAGTCTGCATAATTTAGTCACTAAGATGTAAACAAAGGTATCCAGAGTACACACGTACACAGAAATGTACACACCCAAATGTCTTTACAGTGGTGGTGATAAGAACCTAGGGTTGCAATGTCTGTATAAACATAGTCATTTTATATACTGTCCAAAATAACCACTAAACTACATATGCCTTCTGAGTTATTACATTATAATTGATAATGGTAAAATAATGGTAAATTTGAAAAAGAATGTTTCTTTGGGTACTGTTTTGTATGAATGTACATAACAGAAGTAGATGTGCCCGGATTTTTACCTGTAAATGCATTTTTAAAAATGTGTTTTAGGACATCTTAAAAGTGTTTTAAAACAATGTCTCAGGAGTTGAGCAAAATATTTGCAATGTATATTTCCATGTACTAACTTTCTGTGAGGGAGCTTTCAGTGGAATTTACTGCTACAGATGTCTGGTTCCTATCACTACAACAATTCTGACTTAGTAATTTTCTCTAGAATGGTGCATTTCAAATCAAACTACTCTGAATGAGTTTGTTTCCATGAGAACAATTTAATTATGCAGATTTTTTTTTACCCGATTTTCTCCCCAATTTAGTCGTCTCCAATTCCACCCGCTAGTTAGGACTCCCCCAATCACACGATGCTATCAACTCTAGGAGGGTGAAGGCTAACACAGGCTTACTCCGAGACCTGTGAAGCCAACCACCGCTTCTTTTCGAACTGCCGCTCACGCAATGTCACTGGACAGCTGAACACGCTCGGAGGAAAGCGCCAACCGCCAGATCTGTTACGTCAGCTAACAGACGCCTACGCTGACTAGCATCGCGCTGAGTGATGGGGGGTGAAGGGGGGCCATCCTACCCACCCAGAGAGAGCGAGGCCACCCGGCTACGGATGGCTGTAGCATCACCAGGGATCGAACTCGCGATCTCCTGATGATAGGGCCAACGCTTAGACGGTTGCGCCACTCGGGAGCATTATGCAGATATTTTGAAAAACAGGTGGAATTCCCCTTTATGTCTCCTGAACAATCAAAGATCAACATTTGAGCAATAAAATGTTATTTAAAAAAAATATATCTGAAAAAAGCATTTTGTCAGGCCAAATCTCCACACATATGTTGTCATATCATCATGAGGACACAAAGGGAGGCTAAAAAGAAACACATACATAGACACAATAAAACAGACGTATGTTGGCTTCATCTTTTTATATAAGGGCTGTGATGTCAAATGCGTCGCCATTAAAGCAATTTATGAAATGCAACCTGAACTGGTGTCCAGGTTCAGTTAGAACTTTTGTCTAGTTTTAGTGTGTAGGTTGGGAGCATAATGAGACAGCTCTGTCTTGGTCAGTGTGTGTGTGTGTGTGTGTGTGTGTGTGTGTGTGGTCTGCCCTACCCCTTGGTCCCTGTGGCAGCTAGCTTTGATAAGTGCTCATGATACGAATGAATAAATAAGTAAGAGTACTAATGAGGTGTAAGCCCCATTGTGTGTGGTGGGTAGTGAAGTGTGGGAGCGGGGGCTGTGGAGGGGCAGGACACTGGAGAAGTGGATGAAGGGATGAAAAGATGAAGGAGGGAGGAGGGAGGGGTCAGTTGGCCTGTGTCATGTCAGGCAGATTGGCAGACAGGCAGCAGCATGCTCAGAGAGAGAGAGGGAGAGAGAGAGAGATAGAGAGAGAGAGAGAGAGAGAGAGAGAGAGAGAGAGAGAGAGAGTAAAGCAGCTTGTTTCTAACACGGATTGCAACCACACAGAGTGGCAAGAGAACATCAGCATTACACAACTGTACAGAGGCCAAAGCCAACAGGCCTGCTACAGGCCAACAGCGGTAATCCACACACACACACACACAGAGACAAGCGCATGCTCACTTTACACACAAACACACACACACACACACCTCAATCCAGCCCATGCACTGACACAGTCACACAACATGTGCACCCAAACCATGTCACCAAGAGAAAGCAAAACCCAATTCCAACACCTATCACACACTATCACAGATTAAAATGTCAGAACATGTCAGATTACAAAGGAATGTGGAAATAGCAAATAGATGTCGTAGACTCAACTAAACAGTTCAAATCAATCTATGTTCTGGTGGGTTCAAGCAACACAGTCACTAGAACAGTATTGCTGCCTCAGAAACCCGTGTGGTTTTATTCATTTACATTTGCCTTCTATCTTTAAAACTACAGTGGGGTGCACAAACAGATACTGTACCTATGACAACCCCTTACTGAGTGAGCTAAGGATTGTTCTCACCACTAGAGGGCATGTTTAATTTCCCCACCACTGAAAAGCAGAAGCAGTGGAGCAGTGGACAAAGCAGGCTGCAGGCTTTCACTCACGCCTACATGCTCCTGCCCTTCTTAAGGGCTCCTGCAGAAGGCCTGCATGTGGAGGCTAGTAGGCTACTCTTACGCAAACTCAGCTACAGCCACAGGCCACATTCAGTTTCAGATGAATTTAGGCTGAGCTCCTTGGCAAACTATAAACTGGCTATTTTAATAATAAAAAAAAGTTTAAAGTAATAAAAGGTAGACAGCTTATAATAATAATAGTAACAGCTGAGACAACAATAGTAATAGTGATGGCAACAACCAGTCCAACTACTACTATTATTATTATTATTATTATTATTATTAATATTATTACTATAAACCCAATACGATATGTCTATATTATTCTGTATTATCATCAGTAGTAGTAGTTACAATAGCTAGTAATAGCTACATATTTTTTGCAATTATTATTACTATTATCATTATTATTGTTGCTGTTGCTATTGTTTTTATTATTGTTATTCACCTGCTTGTATGTGTGTGCCGGTGAGTGACGGTTCTCATAAGGCTGTCAGTCAGACTGGAGCTGTCCACGGTTCACCCTTTATTCAGCCTGCCGTTAGGATAAGCGCGAGCGTTCACGTTGCCTCATTTCCTGTAGTTGAGTCTCTGCCGAGAGAGAGAGAGCGCGCTGAGGAGAGGGAGAGACAGAGACAGAGACAGAGAGAGAGAGAGAGAGAGAGAGAGAGAGAGAGAGAGAGAGAGACAGAGGGGGAGGCTGGTTCCTGATACCGAGACACGGAAAAGCAGGGGAGGGAGAGTTTGAGGGGAAAAAAGAGACAGGCGGAGAGAGGGGGAGAGAACAGGGGAATTACACTGACGGACACAAAAGCGTCGTGGGGAGAAACTGAACACAGAATTTCTCACATCTTCCGTCTCTCACAGGGTCACGCCAAACACTGAAGCTCGAGGCATCGACAACGCTTGAACCCAGAACTCATGGGTTAACAGGTACGTCTCACCCACCCTACAGCACTCAGTTCACCCGCATGTAGTTGCTTCGCTTTTCGGTCCATCACAACACTGACAGCGTTGTCACTGTTATCGGCTTCGACGTTCACAGTTTTCCTCGCGAGTCGTTTCGCTCGTGGCTCAGACGCGGACCGGCGTTTATGCACTTAACATGTCAGGTACTCGGGGAGCGAGGTAAGTTCGAGTTACAGTGCAGCGAGTTTTCTTGAGGACGCCGATTGTCACGAACAACAAGTGAGTTTTGACAGCCTGTCGCTGTATCGGTGCTGAATGAAGCGGTGAGGTAACTGGCTAAGTTTTTAGCCGCTTCTGTGAGAGAAACCTGTTTTGACATCGCCAGGTGAGCCACATATGACAGCCCTGCTGACAATGGCAGCCTGTAGAGCTGAAGGTAAAGCGGAGGGATGAGGGCTCGTCAGCTGAGTGCGAGCTTTCGGCGGTTCGGCGCTGAACGGTTCGCTGTGGATTAGCTTTGTGCTGAGGTGAAGCCTGTTTTGTCTCTTTTATCAGAGGGGGTTGTGTTTGCGCTCTGGATACGTTTTAATCAAACACAGTGGTAACACACTGTATGCGGCTAAATTACCCTGGTTTTACTTCACGCGTTCATCTGCTTTCTTCCCTCAAGTTCTGGCCGTATCGTGACTCTTTGGCCTCTGAGCTCCAGTCGAGCTGTCACTTATTCCCGCTTCCGCGATTTTAACTATCCGTTTCTTGCGGTCGAGGGGGGTTTAAAGCGAAGAGCTGTCGTCTCGGCGAGCCAGGGCTTAACCCCCCGCCTCCCTCTCCCCCTTCTCCCCTCGTTTAACCTCCAAAAGGGGGATTTCTCCTGCTGGAAATTTCTGCTGCGTCAACACCCAACCCTAGCGCCCCAGACGAAAGAAGGGGGATTTCTTTTCTTTCTTTTTTGCTTTTTTCTTGGACTCACATTTCGTTCCCACCACCCGTAAATCCGACCGCCCTTTAATCCTTTGTGTGCCACTTCTCGCAACTTAAAAAAGTGCAGCGTGTGGCGGGGAAAGCGCCTGTATATCCGTGTGCTGGAGGAGCGCCGCTGTCTCTGGGGGTCGTGTTGGTGTCTCCTTGCCCGTCTGCCCCCTTTCCCCCACTCACACTGCTGGTCAGTTCCGTCTTCCTCCATTTTCTGGTTTTCTTGTTCGCTGTGAGGGTTGGGGTGGAGCGCCGGTCGAGCAGCGTCACCGGGCTACGACGTCAGACGGGTTCGCGCGCGTCGCCTGAACTAGCCGTTGGGTTCGAGTGGCGGCAATGTGGCGGTCCGAGGTTAGACAGGGTTCTTCAGACAGTACCGTAATTATTCCATGTGAAGCTTTTCTGCAGCTCCCTCTGCCACTGGCACAGGTGGTCGACAGGCTGAGTGACATTATTCACCACCTGAAACAAGCTGTCTGGAAAGGTGGTCACTGTTTCGACATTTGTGTCAAAAGTGTACAGTAGTGTTATTGACGTCCGAGTGGCGTTACTGTGGCGGTCCTTAACGGATTAAAAATGCACATTAAAAATCGGTTTAAAGCTTTGAACAGGTGGACAACAAACTGAGTCAATTTGAAGGGGAGTTTCACAGACTTTTCAAATTTTCTGCATGATTCAATCGTTGAGATGTAAACAAAGTGATTCAGAGTGGTTTGATGTGAAAAGGTTAGCTGTAGAAGAACTTACCAGCTCAGATTTCTGCTCAGTGATAGGTACTAATCTGCATACATCTGCATTAATAGGTTTTATTCTGCAACTTTTTTGCCATACAACTCCCTTCATATACCTGTCCGCCATGAATATCTTTTTAAAATATGTTTTAGGCCACACTTCAAAACTTCTGTAAAACAATGTCTCAGGCAGCAGACCATTCATAACCATTTCATGTAATAACTTTCTGTGAGGTAGCTTTTAGAGGCATTGATTTGTCAGGCATCTGGTTCGAATCATTTGACATCATAACCATTTATTTATGCAGACATTTTGAAAAAACTAATAGAATTCAGTCCCCTTTAAGACATGGTTGCGGTTTTAACAGTTGTGCTGTAGAGTAAGGTTTATTTTCAATGTTAATAATGCCTAAAGAGTGGCATTAAGGTGCAGTCGGTCCACATTTTAAAAGGGGCATTTAAAAATACCTATTACCATATTGTACATGTTTTTCTGTGAAAGCCTTTCCACAGCTCTCTAAAGGCCTCAGTTGCCAAACTGAGTGGAATTCTGTGGAGTCCTGAGATGCAGAACAAGTTGGTTTGATTTTTACTGTTTTGACTTGTCTGTGTAAGGCTATGAAAGTCTTTTATGTTATTTTTAATGTCACTACGCCACAGAAACTCTTTAATGGGGCTGTTTGTGCACAGCAGTGTTGAATCCACTGTTCCAGTGTTCATTTCGGGGGTCCAGCTGGACTTAAATGATCACAATAGGTGTTAATTCAACACTGGGGATTCGGCTGTGTGCACTTTAATATAATCTTAGGCAAACAACCTAAAAGCATAAGCCTCTTTTTTTGTTTTAAAGCTAACTCAGCATCCAGCAGTATCATAGAAGATGTCTGAGTGACTGTGCGCTGCTAAGTCCGGGAATTAGTCAACTGGTAAAGGGCTAAATTGAGCAGAATAATTTTTGGTTATGCAAGGGGACTGCCTTGATTCCCATCTTCCGAGAACATGGCCTACAGTCGGCTGAAATAAAAATGCAGGCACATTTACTTCCTCTCTTAATCAGGTCTGATGTAAGGCATTTTTTTATTTCTAAAATGGTACAAGCCCTTGCCTTGGCTAACACATATTACTGCAAAGGGTCAACAGACATGGACAGTAGCTAAATTGCTCAAACCATCCTTTCAAAACAAGACAGACGGCTTAACGTGGTTGATAGTGTGGCAGGTAGTTTTTCTCTTGTTGAACAGGGGAGTTAGTGTACGCCTCAGGCACCTGGCAGGTGTCTGTTGGAACAGTCAGTGTAAAGTAGGGAGCCTGTCCACCTGTCATTCTGAGAGTAAAAACACACATACTGGATATACATTGCAATCCTGGCAAAAGCATTAAGTCTAATAGGTGAGGCGCCTTAGTGTTTAGCTTTGCAAAGACCTTGATATTCATTTCGTGTGTGGTGTACTTGTTTAGTGATGTATTGAGGATTTTGTGGGGTCATTGGATAAAAACACATATTGCTCTACTTTCAGTACATAGATGTCAGAAAAGCTGAGTTTTAATGTGCATGCTTATCAGTATCTTCTTTGCATTAGCTACTGAATGCAATTAACACATTTATTCTTTATAGGCCACAAATATCTCTTTATGTAATCAAGCTGGAGTTAGCATGGTGACAAATTTGTTGTCGTTTCCAACCTGCCTAGTTTCAGCGTGCCAACAACAACAACTCTGTAACATAGCATTTTAAACAAATTCAGCATTATGTAGTAACTACAACTTATTCAGTCATTAAGTTGAATGGGATTTCTGTCAGCGTTCTGTAACACTCGACCAACTTTGCAGCAGTTGCTACAAAAGAATACATTTTGTGGGCAGAGCATGCTGATGCAGGTGAACTTGAGAGAGCTTTTGCTCAACGCACACATAGATGCATGTTCATTCAGACATTTCCGCACAGACAGCATTGCTAGACGGCAAAAGGTCTAATCCTGGAAGGTCAGCGTATGTTTGCCATGGGTATCTGGGTTGGTCCGTAACATCCTGGTAAATGAGGATAATGGTTCTGTGTGTGTAGGTGCGTACTCAGTGTGGAAAACAGGGCTGCGATCCACTATGCTGACTGACTTCCTTGCAGGTGTGGTAATGTTGTGTCAACAGCAGACTGAGGTGGGAAGCTGTTTTTCAGTGTGTGAGAAGGAGAAGCGAGAGACTTTCGATCAAGAGAAATAGAAATGGACAAGGACTCTTTTGCTGGAGCTGTTTAATGAAAGGCTCAGTCAGGGCACAACACAATAGCACAGCAACAACAGTATATGAACTGTGATTATGCAGCATGTACTTCTACTTTCTAGCAATGTAGCATTATGCAGATCATAGTGGTGGTTCCAGTGCTATAATGTTGTTGTTAATTGAAGACCTGACTTGTTGCAGGTCCAAAATCTAGCCTTTTACATGCAGCAGATCCTGGAAGAAGCTGGGGATGCACTGATACAGCATTTGTGGGCCGATGCCGATATCCAATATTTTTCATGTACATATTTGCTGATGCTGATACCCATACAAAACTTTTATAAAATGTACAACACCGGGACTAAATCTACCAGCATTAAAGATACATGTAACATTTATTTCTGTAGGGTTACAAATGCAGTAAAATTAATAAAATGCAGACGTTTTATCACAGACATTGAAAGTGTATTATAGTGTATAGTCGTAAGACAACTTTGTATCTCCGCAACACTGACTTTTAATGGAGAAAGAAAAAACTTGCTTAACATCACAAGTGTTTAAAAAGCTTCTAAACGTTTCAGTTTCCCCTTCGGTCATAAAATGTTCACACTACACTCAAAACCTGCTAGCGTTTTCAAATGGTGTTAAAAAAAAACAAAACGGCAAAACGTTACAAGGAATTATGAGGTTTTCTTATGACAGGGATGATATGTAGGCTATACCTAGAAAGCAGCTCAGGAAGAAAGAGTTGAATAGAAATGTGCTCTGAGATGTTTTTGAGGGTGGTTGTGCTTGTTAATCTGATCATTTGCAGGGAAAGCAGAGCTATGGGGGTAGATGGTGAGAGGGCCTGAGACAGCGAGAGAGAGAGAGAGAAAGAGCTGGAGGCGGGGGGTGGCTGAGCTGGTGAACTGGTCTTATGTGCGTGGTGGGGGGGCTGGTAGGATGGGGGTGCAGGCTGACACGACACACTGCTGAACTCTGCGTGTGTGAGTGGGCGGAGTGTGTGAGCGTGTGTGACTGAAGGCTGCGCTACCCAGGCTGTGGGCAGTGCTGTGTGGGTAACAGGTTAGGATGCGTATGCCTGCTACACTGCCGACTTAC